GAACAATTTGTTCCGCATCCCTCAGCGTTTTTAAAAAGTCCCGATTTTTTTATTATTTTTAATCAAGAAACCCCCCCCCCCCCTGGTCAATGGTGTCCCTCTTTACCAATGTTAAAATCTGGTCACCTTAGATATAAGGGAAGTATTCATCTCTATTTCTGGGCTATTGAGCCAGCACTGTCGAAATAAATTTCTATAGTCATGTAGCCTGCACTATGTCACAGAGTGTTGTTACCTCCTGCCAAGGTGACACCTATTTATCTAGTCACATATGCATGCTTTTGAACTGCTAGACTGGCAGGAGAACAGAAGCTCTCGATCACACATAGCTTGGGTCTCGAGCCTGGGCTGTCAGCTGTCCAGACGACAAGCCCAGCATCTTAACCGCTGAGGCACTACTGCTGGATGGGAAGAAGTCCTTTAAAATATTCCAGCATCTAAAGCTTCTAAAAGCACCAGTGTGAGTTCTCTTTGAGATGCAAATATAAAGCAATAAAAGAGAAGAGGACTAAGGCATGGAGAGAAAGATTTGGAATTCCCTTTCAGACTGTCCAAGAGTTCTAAGATTGTCAATTTCCTGTGAATAATATTGGATAAAATTAGACTGAAGGTTACTGTATTATTCTATTTGCCAAATCTCATGTAGCTGGTATGTAATCTCATATTTCGTCCCTGTGAAAATATGAAAGGCTCCCTGTGAAAATATGAAATACTTAAAGGCTCTTAACCTGCTTTTAAGTAAGGAGGTAAATTCATCACTGCTGTGTTTGAAGGTTTGGGATGTTTTAATGAAACATCGCAATGTTTCACTGCAGATAACACAGGTTACAAAATGCGTAAGGAATTGCCAATAGTTCACGAGTATAAATTTCACTAAATGGAGTGAAGGTTAATGGTTAATGCAACAAAAGTATTAGGATGCACATAGAAAGCCTAAGCCAATCATCTACCAACGTCACTTCCCTTTGCAGCAACAACCCCAAATTTCCCCTTGTTGAACACAAGCTTAACTTCTGCAATTTCCTGGCTCCAGTTAGTCGGTCTCTTTGCTGGAGGTTCCGCAGTTGTGTGTGTGTGTTTTTTTTTACCACACTACTATTTGTTTTCTATGCTGACAGCACTCACTTTTCTCTTCAGTGTGAGAATCACAAATGCCAGCAATGCTTTGCCAAACAGATAGTATAGCTATTAAAATTTGCTTCTCCGCATTAGATTATTTGTTTTATAATTGACTGAAGAACTATTCTAAATTCCCCATTTTTCAGTGGGAACCTCTTTTTCCTGGAAATGGAAAAGAACAGCTCCTTCTGAAGCTGATGCCCAGAAGTTGAAATCCAACAGTTGAAATCTGTTCACTCCAATTCCTTGATTTTTATCACTATCGCTGAAAAATAAGTCCAACTGCAGGCTTTGTTACCAAGAATTCTTATAAAGAAAGGAAAAAACTTATGGTTGAATGTAATGGTTAATAGCAATAAACTGCATAAACAGTTTCCACTTGTGTAATGGATTTTTCTTTTCATATCTCATGTGAACTTCTCTTTATCTTTCAATGCCCTGCAGCTGTCTTTATTTCCATAAAGTCTGTCTCGATGCAAGAAATTTCAGAGATATAAAGAAGCAGATGAATCAATTTCTTCAACTGCTGTTGATATATTAGAATAGAATAGAATAGAATAGAATAGAATAGAATAGCAGAGTTGGAAGGGACTTTGGAGGTGTTCTAGCCCAACCCCCTGCTTAGGCGGGAAACCCTACGCCACGTCAGACAAATGGTTATCCAACATCTTCTAAAAAACTTCCAGTGTTGG